GCAAATGTTCTCTGACGTAGCTTCCTTGCTTGTGTATGTTTGTGTGTGCTGTGACTAATATCAGTATAGTATATGTGTATTTCAGACATAACGAGCCCCTGTGATTTGATGGAAGCATCTGCTAGCGCCCAATATCTTGTAATATTTAAAATAAAACAGCAACGTGTTATACAATACGTTTCCTACCATTAAGTTGTATTATATATATGTACGCCTAAATTACTTGCATTTTACATGTTGTCATACAGGACAGAGGTAACGGCTCTATTAAGTGATCAATACTTAATTAAATATATAGTTCATGTTTAGTACAGGATGCTTACTATTTCGATAACATGTTTAATACCTAGTGAGAATAAAATACGTTTTAGAGACTATAGCACCGTTTTAGCAGAGGGGAGACCATCGATATATATTTTAATCCATCTGACTGCGACATCACTTATTGTTCTATTTTTAAAAATGTCACACAGATATGTTAGGTGATTGAAATAATAAAATAAATCGTTTACCAATGTTAATACTGTCTTTTTAAACCCATTGATATTGATGACAATCTAATATAAAATAGCAATAGCGATGCGTGTTATTGTACAGTAACATAATTTGTTTAAACATTAATATTTGCTCTTTATCCTCACATTTTAATGCATAGAGAATGGTTTACGTGTTGAGAGCGTAACATGTAATGCAATTTGGTCAGATTACTACAATTGTGACATCATCGATCTGACTGCAACAACACTGATTCTACTATTTGAAGAACTTAACAACCTGACGAAAGGTGATTTGAAATAATGTTACTAAATATCTACTATATCTGAATGCAAGATATGAATGGTTAAGCAAATACAATGTAGTACTATAGCACTAAAACACGCATTGCTAATGCTACCAAGCCAACAAAATACCCTGTCAAGATTACAGGATTCAAAAGGGATTTTCCTGCATTTTTTAATATCCCATGAAATTCTGACAAGGAGGTAACCAACCCCGATTCTGCGTGGGCTCCACATAAGTTGCGTCTTACGATCATGCAGTTTGATACAGCAGGCTTATTTAATTTGAATTTAAATATATAGATAAAGAAAAAATAAATGTATTGCTTATAAGAAGTAGCACAGCTTCTTTCTATATTTGTTGTATACTTAACTATTAAACGCGTGTACAATTCTGTTTTAAAAAGTCTGTTTAATACAGTGTTTTTGTTCTGTTAATATATGATTATCCACATTCGACTGGTCTTTACTTTTTGTATTTTTCAGTCCTAACTTAAAAAATGTTTGATGTACGGGTTTTACAATATTTTTTGGTCCATTTGCCGGTGTTTCTTTTGTCAAGTGGAATTATAATTTGGCAGTTTTAAAAAGGGATTTCCCTATTCATCGCATTGGGTAAATTGAGAGCACGTTAACAGGCTTGTACTCAACTAAAAGGTAATATGAGATCAAGCTAAAACTTCCGGTATCTTGTGTCTGAACTTTTCGCTGTTTGAGAAATGTAAACGTTTAAATAGAATATTATCTAATCGGCAGAAACGTCAATATATATAGTAATTAATGGAGCCACGACAGTCGAGTAGTAGGACGCCGGTCTCGTGACCAAACGGTTGCGGGTTCGCGCCACGGCACGGCAATGTGTTGTACCTTTGTGCAAGATACTTTACTCCGCTTGTTCCAGTCTACTCAGCTGTAAATGAGTAAGTGGTTGGGGAGTGCTAGAATTGTTGAATGCTAGCTGTTAGCGCCGAAATGGAAGCTCCGGCTGTATGCTCCCCAGGGAGTTGAGAAATGTATTGGCTGATTGCAAAGGCCCTATAACCACGGATAATAATTTGTGAACCACTTTGAGACGACCTACGAACTAGGTTGTGATAAAGCGGTGTTTAAGAACCTCCAATTATTATTAATTATTATTATTGTTTGACATTTGAGGTTTAACTCATATGCAATACTAAGTCTTGATAGTTTTCACGAAAAAATATCAACAAAAGGAAATCAGTTTGTGCGTATGTAATAGAAGTTCCTTTAACAGAGTACATTTGTTTTAGTGCGCAGTATAACATTTACGACCCTGAAAAAATGGGTTTATGCAAAGAGAAGAAATCGTTCTTTCGTACAATATCACTTGGATATAAAACCTCATACCGTTATTCTGAACATATTAACATTCGTGCACATTAAAGGGACACCTTGGTCTATGTTACATATCGATATTGCTACTATATTGTTTTTATTAATTGATTGATTTATTTGTATATAAAACTGTACATATTTTTTATTTGCAGAATAGAATTTCGACAGTACGGACGATTTGTTCATCTAAAAAGCGATTTTTTTTAGAGACACTATATATTTGATAATTAGCTCATGTGACTGGATGCATATGATTTCATGAATGCAGTGATTGCAATCTGTTTAGTCTGTGGCTAAACTCATAATCACTTTAATCCTTACACATTGGTGCGGCTATTTTGGTTTATCAAAATAATAAAACCTTGTTTGTTAGGACACCTGTGTATTGCGGAACCTTGATAATGTGATCACGATGTTTATCGGATGTTGAGGTACATTGATTTATGATGTTTGTTGTTTACATATAATGGATTCCTGTTATTCTGGACACCTTGATTTGTGTTTAAAATATAGCGTGATATTTGTATGGCGTACAGTTAATTGTACAGTCGATCTGCAAATTGAGGTCTATGACAATGGAACCGTAATAGCACCAGAACAATGGTTGCTCAAACATATTGATTTATGATTTCACTATAACCTTGATAATGTTGACATGATCGTTCGTGTATTCAATGGGACCTGGTCGGAATGATCAGTTTTGGTTGTCTGTATAGTAACTTGACAGTAATTGAAGCCAATATCTTTCTTAGCAGTGTGGAATATAACATGTTAACGTAGCTTGGAATAAGAGACATCCCTGTCTGTTGTACGGCTTCAATAATTGCATTCGTTGTAGAGCGATGTTGATTAATACATGAATCAGGAGACTGGGAATGCCGTGGTAAACGAACGATATTTCTTTTGCAGTAATCCCACGAGTGATAAACATATATACCATTTTTTGCGTTGTATTATGTCCACAATTACCCATTTAAATTTACTCATAATCAGTGTATTTTACCGGAACAAAGTTTAAGGTGGGGATTACTATCGTATGGCACACTTGCTGAATGGCTGACTTCGTTATGCGAGTTCTTAAATATATTGAAAACATACCAAGAAATAAAACATCGTGGCGCTACCTATCGTGCAATCAAGTTTCCTCGGTTATATTTCACAAATTCGAAGCCCATCTAGAAAGATTAGCAAAGAAACGAGTTATTGTTCTATTTCGGCATAACAAAATAAAGTAGGTACACACAATTCTTTGTTTTCCATAGATTAATCAAATTTCAAGTGGATAAATTTACCTTAGATAGATTATGAATTTTGTTCTATTTTGTTTTAAATAAAATATAACGAATAGCAATAAACAAAAATACAATTTAGATAAGTTGACGATCCAGAATGATAATTTCCAATTACTATTGAACCATAGGGATGTACTTAAAGACTGTTATATGATAGGTTGTACATTAAGACTTCACCACAAGTACAAAAATACATAATATTACACCATGCATCATCGTCTTATTTCGTGAGTACCTTTATTTATGATTATATTTAATTGACAATACATCTTCTTGCAAACATTCAAATGAAATTATGAAAATTATTTTCTAAACGCATAATGCTTTAATATTAAGAATAAAGCTAATACTATCTATATTTTTTTTACATACTGTTGTACCTAGAGAATTTGACATTTGACATATGTTAAGTTGAAATTCAAAGATAGGCCGATGACATGGATGTATGTGATGTTCACTTTTATATCGTCGATTCGGAGAGTGAACATGCGACAAGTCGTTTATTTCCTTTACGAATACGTTTCAATAACTTTTCCCAGAATAGTTTCCTTGCTGTTCTGAGTCTTGTTTTATCGGTGTTGTGTTCATTTGGCCAATGCAATGGACGTATTTTATGCCAGATGTCTCGGATGAGTTTTGGAAATTCGCTTTGTTTCATGTCATCTAACAAAATAATGATATTCATATTTTCTCTTCCTTCACGAAATGAATATCTACTAGCTACTTTCATAGCGAATGTTGGCCATTCGTATTCAAGGAATTTACAGCTTACTACAAACACAGTTCGATATGAATCATCTATGGCACCCATAATGTTATCACATATGTCCAATCCAGTGTCGAATGTTTTATCCTCGGCACTATATTTGATATCATGTTCTTCAAGCCATGAAGCTAATGTTTTCCGTATCCATTTGCAATCCTCCTTGCAGTATGAAACGAAGATGTCATATGGATATGTGTCATGTTCCACTNATTGCCTGACGCAAATTGTGTCGAGGAACTGTATGTCTGATTTCCCTAACTTAACCACCCCGGCGTTACGTACATAGTTGTAACTGAATCTAATATTGTCAATAGTTCTCCCTCGTAATCCGTATAGGAGAGGCAAAACAGAATTAATATCTCTGTATCGATTCGTATTAATATACAAAGATGACATGTTTTGAAATGGATACAAAGCATTAGCTTCTAAAGTTCTCGTTTTTACATAAAGTCTCAAGATAGAAATATTCATTCGCTCTAATCCTTGGAATGATGTGTTTCTTATCGACAATTTCCCATAAAACTCCAATGTGTTCAAATTAGTTAATCTCAAAAATCCTTTTCCGAAACTGCAACCATCAAATATATCTATAGCAAGAGCCTCAATATGTGACAAAGTCCAAAACACAGAGTCTGGGATGACTTTCCTCAAATAGAAGTTGTTGTTGTTTATTCTAAGAACTCGGAGATTATTCAGGGNCCTATTTATTCTCAGAACTCGGAGATTATTCAGGGGTTGGAATACGGATCTTGTAAATGAGGACACATCAAGTTGGTTGTATGATAGATCTAGGTACTTCAGGTTTACAAGGGCCTCAAACGCTCCAGACAGTAAAATCGACAATTTGTTTCTACTAAGTGTGAGATGTTCTAAAAATGGTAAATGTGTAAATGATCCATTAAGTAAGATTGTCAAGTTGTTGCTACGGAGATCGAGAGAGGTTGCATTCCTTGGTATATCCAGAGGGATGGCCTGAGGACGACATCGTAAACACGTGACTTGGGATTCATCATATATACTGCAGCAATTCGGTAGTGCATCTGAAAGTAGAATAAATCGTAATGATACAGAGAATATAAGAGAAATGTCTGTTGATAGTTATGACCAGCATAACAACCTAATCGAAGGAACTGGCAGAATGTATTTCGAAAATGACGAATGTTTGTTATTAATTTTATACAGGCAAGGTTAAACAAAATGTTTTCGAAAATCAAGCTGCTACACAAAACCACAAAACAATTGACATGACTTAATACCGTACGATCCTCCCCCTTCCGCCCCCACCCTTATTAGAGTTAGATTAAAGATTAAAAAAGTGAGGTAAAAAAAGACAAAATTACATTATGAGAGTGTGAAAATGTGAGAGAGAACAAAATGAACAGGCTTTGATTTTTGAATAAAGAAAATAGAGAGGTGTTTCAAGTATTGTGGGTTGTCGCTGGGGCGGCCCATCCCCAGACAATCCACGAATGATGTATGTACACCAAAAACGAAACAAAAAAAACCCTGCTTCAGTGAACTATCGATCAAGATTTTGAGTGTGCTTAAGTGTAGTACTATATAATAACCGGGTCTTTTTATTTACATTTATTGATATGTTACAACACAATGAAATGAGTTATTCATTGCCACGCGTGTCACACACAAACACGATCTTTTGACAATCGGTTGCTCGACCAGGAGAATGGTCAGACAAAGGAATGACTGTAAAACAAGATGACCGACTATGAGAAATTCGATGGAGCTAAGGACGGCAAGTACTCATTGATAGAGAGTTACGTAAATTTTCGAAATTCAGAAATTGGTAGGAGAAGACTGGGCCTTCAGTCGTAGGTTATTATTCACACGAAACTGATTTCGTGTATTTTCTGGGATGCATGTGTTAGTGTTTGGGGATGACTTCAGTAGACCGACAATATATTTACTCTAAACTAGAAGACCGTTATGTTGAAGAACATGGTAATACAGTTAGCACACTGTATGTTGCACCTGGTAATCACATCCCAGTTAATCATGTTTACATATCACAAAGAAATACTTCTATTAATGACATCTTAGTTTGGTATGTTTATAAACCACTGTAACGTAACAGTTCATATTAATGGAAGTATGGCGTTATAGACGGTGTTAACATACACAACATGTTAAATACACAATCACAAATCACCAAATACTTCTGACAATCCATAAAATGTTTACCTGAAAAGCTGATATTCCACATGAAGAAGACTATCAGAAAAATTGAAAAGTTCCCCATGCTGTCGTACGGTCTGGCATCCAGGAAGCAAATGAATGGTAAATACATTCGATGCACATATGTATGATTTTGTGTATGTGTGTTTACGTCACAGACATGTCTATATTTTCCCGTGTTTCTACTTAAAGTCAAAGGCCTTGTTAGCTTCTCGAGACCGTTGTTTCGTTTTACCTTAGGTCTTGGTTCATTGTTGCAGTTGCATAATATTAAGCAAAACTATACTATTAATTACAACAAATAATACACAAACAACTACAATTTCATAATTTCCTCATGTCACCGTATTTTAAAATAGTGTTAGACCGTGTAAATAACTATCCTTGTTGCATTGAAGTCACCCGTATAGGTAACTGTAAGGTTTTTCTGTATTCACACCCACGCATTTGTTTTGCTTCACTTCGTTTTCTGAATGGCCTTGCATATTAATTACCAGTCTGCATTAATAGAACTGATCAGATTGCGTCATATCAACGCCTGCTATTTGGTTTGACGTATCTGTTAGCTTATTGGTGGCCGTGTTTTGGAAGATTCGTTATTAAGAACATCGTTTGTTTTAAGTGTACATGTGGGGATATTGGAACAATCATATACTTTTACAGTGGAATCTTGGTAAATGGGGACCTGTTGAAATCGGACCTTTTTCAATCGAACCAATTAGTTTGGCTCTTATAAAATCCGTCTTTAACTAGAGTAATTAAACTATGGCTCATCTGATCTCTGTCTTCTGTGTCACCCAGACCACCACACAGCCATCTTGAATTTGGCAGTTGAACTGCGTTACCAGTATTGTAAATGTATGTTCCCCTTGGTCCCCTTGTTAAGAATGCTCCTGGCCTGGCCAAAATAAGAATGCATCGGTCATTGACAGAACTTCTAATTATTTGTTTTTATCATTTTGCATATATTTATGCAATTCTTATCGATAACTTTTTTTGTCATAGCGACAATTCATATTATGAGGTTTAAGTTAATACACAAGATTCCTGTTTAGACCCAAAGTGTTGATAATCAGCTATAAGCATGGTTGAAGGGCTACTAAGTTTTTGAAAATTAATGACCTTGACATTTATTCATTCAAAGCTGGAAAACTTTGATTCATGTATTCATGAAAACTAAATTATACAATGTACATTTATCAAAAATGCCTGTATTTTTTCATGGAATTCTGACTAACGTCCCCATTTTAGATTCGCTCATCGTAGAAAAGGTTCTTCATAACATTTATGGATAGCAGATTGTCAGATTAATGTGTGTTGGTGTGATACCAGGATCTGTGTCAGTCACTAATTCAGATGTATTATGTTTTGTTTGTAGTGGGACCGTGCCACCACCGGTATCATTTATAGTGCCACCTCACTTGAATGCTACAGCGCAGATACCGCAACATCCGCTCCAACCCATTGTATACCCCACTTGGGTTATTGGAGTTGTGTGGGCAGAAGAAAAACATCTTCTCTGATTGTTCCATGCGTACGACGACTTCGGGGATCAAACCCCGGCCGCCTGTGTTTACCGCTCGACCAATTCGCCAATTGTCCATACGTCTGTGCAGGGGGTGTCGCCTTGGTGATATTACTAGTCCCAAATAACATCCGTATAAAATCTTATGATGTACCAGCGCGTACATACATGTGACAAATAAACAATTAGATAAATATGTTTAATCAGTATCTGATAATGAATATCGGTAATTGATAACAAATAACTTTGAATTATGTGCCTCAGCAGTCTATTGATGCAGTAGGAAGATACAACTATATTAAACAATGTTTTAATCTGATACTGTCAGGGACATGATTGAGCAGAGAAAGGGCTTATCATATCATTACTGTATACACACTCTGTTATTAGTTACAAATACGTTCAAAATTCGTCTCTGTTTGAATTCCTATTAAGTTATTTTGGAGTGGAATTATGTTCATATCAATACTGTATACCCGTTCTGTTGTCAGTGGGGACAGTTGACAGTTTATTGTTGGGAGAAGATAGTAATCTCAGTTGCGTCAACTATAACAAGTAAATAAGATAATCTGTAAATTCGTATATTTCAATATCGATTCTTTAGATTGAAATTAATGATATGAAATGGCTTCTTATAATGGTTAATAATAGAAACATCTACAACAAATAGCGAGCTGAAGCTAAAGATCATTGTTTTCTCTTAACTTAAAATAGTCAACATATTAGCAAAAAGGAAAAATCTGATTGACACATAATTATCCATTATATTAAATTCAACAAAGAGCTCAATTAACAAAGTGTAAAGTTTAACTCTAGTGTACATGTTTGTTGAACTTTTCATTAAATCTAGTTAGGTTTTACATTGGCTTGGTTTGGTTTGGTTTAGTATTGTTTAACGTCCTATCAACAGCTATGGTCATGTAAGGACGGCCTTCCCTGTGTACAAGATTCATACGTGTAGTGTATGCGTGTGTGTTTTGGGATGGTGCCATATGTTCGTGTTTGTCTCCTTGTGATAGCGCGGAACCTCCACGCAAGCACGCATACACTACACATGGAGGTACGTCCTTAAATGACCTTAGCTGTTAATAAGAGGTTAAACCAAACATTGGCTTCCATACGTATTTAGCAGGAAAGAAAAAGATTCTTCAGTATATTTATTCCATTGAGATATGTTCAGTGTAATAGATCCAACAGCATGGATTTGGTTTTACTATTGGTTTGTTCTACTGTGTTCTAATATGCTGAAATAAAATGCATATGTTTGTATATATATAAACAGCTTGGGCTGTTTATTTCCACTGTGTGGAACATATTCTAGCCTTTATAATCGTGTATGAATATACAATATTGTACATAAACAACATATCATTTTTTTATATTACTTTTTTTCCGTGTGAGCTTTTTCACAGTCCTTCAGTTTATGTTTGGATACCATCAAGTGAAAAAGCATTGTAATTATCGTCACCAAAACAAAATATGCATAATTGTTTCGATGTTTGAGTTAATTGACATTTTACCTGTGGAAAATGCAAGAGGGACTATCTCACACGCCAGTCCTCTTATGTATATCACTCTCGTAGATTTATAATCATTATACAATTTTCATTCAGAAATAACATTTTAAAATAGACTATTTAGTCATCTGTCGATAATAATGTTGTAGATTAATAGTTTGTTTTCTTTCGGAAATGCCATAAAGGATATAGATCATATTGATACAGTCCTTTTCTAGACAAAGATCTAGTAAGATTGTGTAGTAAGATTGTTATTTCATCAATATTTCAATCCAAAAGTCTACAGCAACCGACTGTCTGTCAGGATATTTGTTAATAAATATCTTCACTGATCAAGAAATATGTATATACCATTGTTAAATAAGATCTCTCTTGATGGCAAGCTATTTTGATCTGTATCAGTAGAGAGCTTTGTTATAGAAATATGAATCAGGAGAGAGCTTTTTAATGCGATATCGAGATACAAACGGTTGAACCGGTTGCAACAGAGTTGTTTGTTTATAAAATAAGGTCGAACCCAGTAATCATATATCGTTTTCAGGTGAGCCTTGACAAAGCCTTGCAAGGCCTGCATTAACATTTGCAGGTCCGCCAGGATTTAAACCCAAAAATGGTACATATAAAAACACACAAACCGGTTGTTCCGCATAAACAAACAGGCCCCGGTATCAATAGAGAGCTTCATTAATACATATCTTTATCAGTAGGGAGCTTCCTTAACACATTCACCCCTGAAGACTCATTTGAACTCTTCCAGTTGAAAGGTTGGAATAGTTCATTATGAAATTTCAGTGGTGAATGAGTTAATTGAAATTTGTGTTGATAAAAAACTTTGCCAAGTCAAATTTAAAACCATGGAAACACAGTAGTTAACAGTGGTTTATAGAAGTGTCTTCTGTTGACAAATCATTTTCGTTATAATATTACCGGTAGATGATTATTATATACTGTAGTATGATGATATGGTATACTCACATTGTCAATCTTAATAATCTAAAACCACCCAAAAGGACCACTTCAAAACATTATTGTCCTCCAAATGTTTGTATTGTGTGGTCATGTATTACTTGACATTTTTGCTGCTGACCTAGGGGTAGAATTTCTATATCCAACATGTAGACATAATGTCAACTCTTTTACTGCCACATCTGACTCGAAATTTAAGGAAGCATGACATTAATAATGGAAATGCATTACTTAATATGGCAAACTTTCTAGATAATTTCTAGGTAACATACATTTAGAAAGAAAAGTATGGTAAACCAATGATAAAGCTCAAATTAAAAAAATACCATGCCAGATCTTCATGACAAGCTTGTGCTGTAATTTCTGTAATCTAAAGAGGGTGTCAATTACCGATGGCAAGAACGACACAGTCAGTCAAACAGCTTTTGACTGACTGTAACGTCGTCATCTGAATTTGGGTGTCTTCATTGTGAAGGTCATGTCGTAATTTTAATGTCGGATACCACTGACAAAGATGCATGAGACGTATAGTTTTTGAATTAAATGCTGAATTTCGATTAATTAATTTAATTTCCTATGAGATCAGAACTGCTAGCATGATTTATATAATTTGTCATTACCAGTTTGCTATCATATTGACTATGAATATCAACTGATAGCAGTTCAATGGCTAAATGTACGACGCATACAAATTCAGTTTTGTATGTTATGTAAAATCCTCTATGCATTAAATAATCAATGTGTACATTGTCTAATGTAGAACATGAAGTAGGCATAAAAGATAAATACAGCCTGGGATATGTCATCGAAAATGTGTACAAGTCCTCCACGGGTATTACAATATATTGACAATGTTACGAAAATTTTGTCATGGCTTTATTGCAGTGAAACAAATCAGAATGAAATTAAAAAAAAACACCATCATATGAAGGAACAATTTCGTTGTTTGTGACTACTCTACCTACTCCATAGTAAAACTACTGTATTATAGTAATAGTGTTGTAGTACGTTAGAACTACCACTCCGTAGTAAAACTACTGTATTACAGTAATAGTGTTGTAGTACGTTAGAACTACCTACTCCATAGCAAAAC